GAAACAAAACCCTGATCCGATTCAAAAAGATTTGTTTGATTGTTTATTGTTCTCGTATTCATATGCACTTTGTGACTAACATGCAATAATTAGGTTTACCCTAAACCTGTTTATCTATGTTGGTTGAATATTAATGCACAAATAAACCTATTATTGGCGATCACTTGAATTATAATCAAATTAACCCTAAACAAGATTATTAATTATCTTATTAAGCGTGATTACAAGTACAAATTCCCTTTAAACATGCATAAAAGGTGTGACCAAGTAATAACAATAATACACATCAAGCAACATAACATAATCATAAATTATAACAATTATAATCCTAATTAAAATAATCATAACCATAATCATATCAACGCTAAAGCATAATAATAGCAAGATCCTAGGCATGATACTAACAAGATTAATAACAAACCCTAGCATGTCACTAAACATATAAAGATCAAAGCTTTATCCCTAACATGATACTAACACGCTATTAAAAAAGAAAATAGGAAGCATCATAACAATCATACTTGATATTAAAATTTTTTAGTTATTACCCTAAACATGATACTAGGAAGCAATAAAACATCCTAACATGATACTAGGAATCAAAATAACAATATAAGCATGATATCTATATCAAAAGATCAATAAAGCAATTAAATTACTTACTTCCATGCCTCACATCTCTTTCTAATAACAAAATACACGCGTTAGTAACTTCAAGGAAAATAATAAATTTATACAATTAAATTAAATAATTGAAATAGAGATTTGGGACCAAACCCTCAGAAATACCAATTTTTTCACGTCTAAGGCGAAGGCAACTTCGAATTTGGCTAGGTGTGTCTAGTACTAATGTATGAAGAATTTTGTTTGTAAAAGGGTAGGCTAGAAAGAGAGACAGAGAATCTAGAAATTCTTGATGAGAGTTGGTGATAATTGATCTCTATTTATAGAGAAAAAATAGGGTCGAAAAATAAAGAAAAGAATTCGAATTCGAATCAAAGTAGAATTCGATGGACCACAATTTTAGCAGATTTTGTTTTTATCATATCTTTGGATCCAGAAGTCCAAAAAAGTCATAAAATATGTCGTTAGAAAGCTCTGGAAGTCTAATTTTTAACCCAATTAGAATCAGATAAAATATGTTATAGATAAAAAGATATGGCCAAAATAGTAGGACGGTGTCAGTTTTAGATAGAGTTTTGTATTCCATTCATATCTTTTTCGTTATAGCTCGGAATTAATATTATAATATATCATTGAAAAGATAATTTCAAGATCTATCCAACCATATAAAAGTTTGATAAAGATTATGAGTCACAAAAATAATATATGACTGTCTTTGAATATCTTTAAATTCGAATAGAATTAGGATTTAAAAAAAGGAAAGTTTTTATAAAAATGAAAGTTTTTATTTAACTCAAATTCTTTAATCTTATCTTTTCAAAAAGGATAATTTAGATCTTTTAGAACTTATAGAAGATTCTAATTAATCCTAATTAGTTTAGGAATAGGATTAGACCTTTGGACCCTCCACATGAACATTGGGCCGTAGGTAAGACCCGGTTTGAGCCCAGTTTAGTATATCGTTGGAAATTTCTTTTCAAGCCTCATCCACCTACACTATTATTGAAGCCGTATCATGGACAAAACTAAACTGTAATGCACGTTTTTCATAAATAGGATAAGAAAAGAAATTTTTTGAAAAACAGAAAGAAGAGATATTTTAATAAAAACACCCTCATCACTAGAATTTTCACACTTTCGCTTTGTTCAATAATCAAATGACATGAAAGATATTCATCAGTGGGTTTGGTTTTGGGGAGACACATTTGGGTGTCTACAATTACAAATTTAACAACATATATAATTGTTTATTATATAGTAATCCATTTTTCTAACATAGAGAATATATATCTTTTACTACCTCCGTCCCTTAATACAAAGCCTCTTTCTCCTTATTATGTGAGTAATAAATGCTAAAAAGAGGTTTTGTATTAAGGGTCGGATGGAGTACTATTTTTAGTATAAATTGGTTAACTTATGCCAAAAAAAAAACAAAAAAATAATAATTAGTTTCTCTACTACTTTAAATAAAACAAACAATGAAAAAGAAAACATAAATATGCGTATACTATATAAAATTAGATTACTAATGATCATTTGTTAGCTAATATTAAAAAATTATTAGCTATATCACATAATACAAAATAAAATTGGCATCGTGGACCCAGGAATGGTTGAGAAAATTATTGTTGTGGTAACACATGTTCTTTTATTATGCACTACATTTGGATTGTCAAACATCCAACAGGTGTAAGATATATATATTTGTTTTTAGGCAAGATGACAAAAACATTAACTAAGTACAAGAGCTTGAAAAAACTAAATATAACCTACAAAATAAAAATCGTGTGGCATGTATAATTTTTTCCGTTCCCTAAATCATACTTATTAAATAAATTTACTTCATAAACAGCACTTCAAAATGGTCAAAGTGTTATGTCGCACAATTCTACATGTTTTGGTCAACAAAGTATCCAAGATGTTAGTAAAAGTTTTGGTGACAGTGGCATTCAAGAGGCCTCTCATTCTAATTTCATGCAATGCAACAATGTTCAAAGAAGAAATAGGGAAAGAGTATGTTATCGTTCTGCAATAAACTTTCATGAACAAAGGGGAGTCCTGATTGTTCAACTATCACCTCTAAGAACATGTGAATTTTGCCAAGCTCGGCTTTTTCATAATGAAACATCCTAAATATGTTGTTTGTCTAGGAAGATTACCTTGCCAACCTTACTTGTTCCCAAAGAACTACGTTCTTTATATATTGATCAAACACCTATTGGAATACATTTTAAGAGTGATATCATAAAAATTAATCACTTATTCGCTTTAACTTCCATGGGAGTGCACTTAGATGAGAGCTTAGCTAATTCTCAACACGGAGTATATACATTTCGAGCTCAAGGTTCTATATATCATAAGATAGGTGGGCTGCTCCCAACTACATCTGAAGCTCGGCCATGATTCCTTCAATTGTACATATATGACACTGATCATGAGATTGAGAATCGTCCTGCAGAAAATAACACATTACGACAAGATATTGTAGAAAAAGTTAAAGCAATTCTTGATCGGTGCAACCCTTTTGTCCATAATCTTCGAAGTTTGGCTCAGCAAGGAAACATAAAAGATTGTGCACTCCGTATTAATGAATAACCTTTCGATCGGCCACAATATTGTCTTCCTACTGCATCTCAAGTTGCAGCTATTGTTGTCGGTGGAGAAGAAGTTGCGAACTTAAATCCAAGAGATATTTTAGTTCAATCAACTTCTGGATAATTAATTAATGTTTTTGGATATTGTTGGATACTATGATCCCCTTCAATATCCACTACTATTTCCATATGGTTCTTATGGACGGTTGATAAACAGTCTTGATAATAATGGAAGAACCATACCTTGCCGAGCTTTCTACGCTTATATCACTCAAGTAATGTACACTACCCTCTCAAATTATAACACACACACACACACGAATATATATTCTTTTTTTTTAAATTTAATGGAGTTTAATTAATTGTAGGTATGACAATATGCCATATCCATCATCTTAATGGTCGGACGCTTATTTCAATAATTCATTGTTGACATGTTTGTAAAAATTAAGGCAAATAAGCTAAGGTGGATTCGAGATAATAAATATACAATTAGAGCTGAATTGTATCAAGGACTTCAAGATTGTTTAGATGTCAGAGAACTTAATCCAGGTTCTTTTCTTAAGTATGTTGTTCGCATTTGATTTCTACTATTATTATTATGTACAAACATAATTAACACTACATTATAACTATAGTAAATGCTGGAAAATCAACCATTCTACCTTCTTCGTTTGTCGAGTGTCCAAGAGACTTGAATCAAAGATTTCAAGATGCAATGGCATTAATTACTCATGATGGAAAACCAAACCTCTTTTTGACAATGACATGCAACCCATCGTGGAAAGAAATTATAGACGATTTATTGCCCTGTCAAACAGCACAAGATCGTCCCAACTTAATCACTAGAATATTCCATGTAAAATTTGAGGAATTCAAGACGGATGTTGCAGAAAAAGACGCTCTCGGGAAGGTTATTGCCTATGTCTATGTCATTAAGTTTCAAAAAAGAGGCTTGCTACATGTTCACATGTTGCTCATTTTGGAATAAAAAGAGAGACCAAAATCTCCGAAAGAGTATGACACATTTGTGAGAGCCGAGATACCTAATAGAGATGAGGAACCATGATTATACGATGCTGTTTTAAAGCATATGATCCATAATCCGTGTGGTGAAGGTCGTCGAAATTCTTCTTGCATGGAAAACGGGGTTTTTAAATGTAAATTTTCTAAACCCTTCGCAGCAAGCACAGTCCAAGGCATTAACTCATATCCTATTTATCGTCGTCCTGGTGATCGTCCGCCAGTACCTTTACATGAGAATAGTACAACCTTCGTTGATAATGGTTGGGTTGTTCCATATAATTCATGGTTGCTACTAAATTATGATTGTCATATCAATGTGGAGATATGTAGTAGCATCAAGAGTGTCAAATATTTGTACAAGTATGTGCATAAGGGTGTAGATCATAGGGGCTGAATACAATGAGATTCATCAATATGTGGATGCTAGGTGGGTATATGCACCAGAAGCATTATGGAGGATATATCAGTTTCCCATTACTCGAATGTGTCCATCTGTTGATCGATTACAACTACATTTGCAAGATAGGCAAATGGTTAGATTCAGTACAAATAAATCTAGTGAAGACATCCTTCGAATGCAACAAAACTCTCGAACTATGCTCACAGAGTTCTTCAAGATGAATGCCTCTTATCCGGAGGCAAACATACCTATATAGAGAATTTCCTCAACGTTATCAATGGCTGACAGCTATAGAAACATGGAGAAAAATGAGGAGTGCGCAAAGAGTGATAGGTAGGATCTACATAGCCTCACCAATGGAAGGAGAAAGATTTTTCTTGCGTTTGTTGTTGGATCATGTTAAAGGCTCCGAATCATTTGAGCAGTTACAAACTGTGAATGGAATTGTCTATCCTACTTTTAGACAAGTAGCTGAAAAACTAGGTCTTATGGAGAATGATGCAAGCATTCGTGATTGTTTGCATGAAGCATCAAACTCTAAAATGCCATCGTCATTGAGAAGATTATTTGTCACGTTCTTGGTTTATTGTAAACAAACTGGGGTTCGATCTCTATGGGATGAATTTTATCATTACATGGCTGAAGACTACTTCTATTCAACTTCAACAAATCCAGATCCGGTACATGATTCAATTCTCTATGACATAAATTGCATGTTAAAACAATTAGGAAAGAGTGTCAATGACTTCGACTTACCTAAAATAAACATGCAAATGGATGGAAACACAGAAGTAGCTAGAGCCATACATGATGAATTATCAACACTAGTGCTCTCTGAAGATGTGCATTGTGCTAAGCATCTTAATGACGACCAATGATCTTCATTTGATATCATTATGGAAGCTATTGAACAGAGAATGGTTGAATTTTCTTTGTAGATGGTCCAGGTGGGACAGGTAAGACTTATCTATATCAGGCCATTCTTGCAACAGTCAAGCTTAGAGGGAAATTTAGATTACCAGTAGCCAGCTCAGGTTTTGCTGCCACACTATTGTATCGAGGAAAAACTGCTCATAAAACTCTTGGTATTCCGGTTACGCTGCGTGCTTCGTCAACTTGGAAGTTTAGTAAACAAGATGTAGAGGGGAAATTGGTCCAGTATGCTGCTGTCATAATATGGGATGAAGCAACAATGACTCATCAACATACGTATGAAGTGATTGATCATAATTTAAGATATCTAACAGGGGTTGATGTTCCATTTGGCGGCAAGGTTATAGTGTTTGGTGGAGATTTTAGACAAATTTTACCTGTTGTACCAAAAGGAACAAAGGCTCAAACTATAGATGCATGTTTGGTTAGTTCAACACTATGGAGACATGTTCAGTTACTCCATCTCAATCAAAATATGAGATCAATACATGATCCAGAATTTGCATCGTTTCTTTTAAGATTGGAGATGGATGTGAGCCTACAGTTAATGAAGACATGATAAAGTTACCAGCTTCAATATGTGTAGGAAATGGTGATCAAATTTCAGTTGATAATCTAATCGATCAAATATTCCCAAACCTAACTGAGCACGTAGGTGATGTTTCATACATGGTAAAAAGAGCAATAATAACTCCAACAAATGACAAAGTTGACATGCTGATTGAGAAGATACTTAAAGAGTTCGTCGGAGAAGAAAAAATCTACTACTCATGTGACTCTGTTCTAGAAGATCATCAAAATCTCTATCAGCAGGAGTTCTTGAATTCATTATCCTTTGGTGGTTTGCCACCACATATTCTAAGGTTGAAAGTTGGTTCACTAATCATGCTTCTGAGAAATATTGACACGAGTAGCGGATTGTGTAATGGGACATGGTTAATATGTTGTCAGTTAAGGGATCATGTGATTGAGGCTAAAATATTGACCGAAAGTTACAAAGGGACACGATTATTCATTCCACGTATTCCTTAAAAAACGGCGAAAGATGTGAAGTTGCCATTTAAAATGATTAGAAAACAATTTCTTGTCAAATTGTGTTTTGCTTTGACCATAAATAAATCACAGGGGAAAACCATTCCTCATATTGGTTGTTGGGGTTTGGTAAGTCCGACTCACCGCGGAAACAAACCCAAAAACAAGACCGCACTCGCAATAAATAAAACCATAAACATAATTATATTAATCACAAGATTAAGATAAGATAATTACGTTTGACGCGTGCTTCGCTCCAAAATGAGCTCTTACTTGAAAGCTTCAAGTCCCGCTCACACGGAGACCTCCAACGAAGTCCACCCGCACCAAAAAAACCGACTAGGTCCAATGTCTTGGGGTTAGCAAGACCCGACCAATAAAACCTGAGTAATTATATTGAGTTCAAAGGTTTTCACTAATTGTGATGCCTTTTCCAACTCTTACTCAAGCATCATACCCAATGCCCATACTTGGGTATTTATAGGAAATGATGGGAGTATCATTTACTCTCCCATCAATGTGGGATAGTATGATTTTTCCATTTTATTTTAAAGCTAAAATAAAATTAATAATCAAGCTAGTAATAAATCAACAAGTGGCAAGCTCATGTGAGTGGTTAGGTGAGGACCACTTGGAGAAGGGGGGACCAAACTTGCTCCCCACTCCCTCTCCCATAACCAGCAACCTCACTCCACACACACTCAAGGACCACAAGCCACATGGCACCCACCCTTGGGCACCAAGGCAGCCACGCCCAGCAAGCCTAGCAGGCCTAGCACTCGCATGCAGGCTGCCAAGCGCTGCTGGCCAGCAAGCCCAGCATGCTTGTGCGGGCTGCTGTTGGCCTTATGCCTTGGCCAGCGCTGCTAGGCAGCAAGCAATGGCCTAGCCATGCTGCTGCTAGCTGTGGCGAGCTGGCGCGCCTAGCGTGCTAGCTGTTGCAGCTTGTTGCGGCATGGCTTGCTAGCCATTGCACGCACAAGGCTGTTCCTAGCATGCTAGCACGCACTAGGTAGTGCCTAGCCTTGCGATGCTAGCATGGGTGCGCTAGCACGCACCAGCCAGCCTAGGCTCGGCTTGGTATGCATGCTAGCCACCATGCTTGGCCATACGCCCTTAGCACTCGGTCTTCTTGGGCATTCCGATGCTAGGGGTATTTTGGTCTTTTGTTGGTTTATTAATATTTCTCGTCTCGTCTTTCACTATTTTTCGACTCGACTTCCGACGCTCGGTTTCGACGCTCTAAGCTCGAATTTCTGACGTCTAAAATAAATATTACTCGGTCGACTCATTAACTCTGAATTATTTCGTTGGTTCGGTTTGTTGAATGCTTGGGTGGGACCGGAAGGGTTCAGTCAAGATTAAGCTGTAATATTAATTATTCATTAATATTACTGATCGGAAGCGGCCTCCACCCTGGCATTCCGATCACTTGACCTCACTGAATATATTAGCTTTCTAATAATTCTGAACCCACTAACGGAATAGTACACTTGTTCGAAGGACACCATTCCTTTAAATCTCCCGCTTGTCCTTCTGGACAAGTGCACATTTTGTGTACAACCTTTTTCCTATGTCGCTTAATGTCTCTTCATGAACTATAAGGTAAGATTTGTTTTGTCATCCTTATTACGTCCAGAAGTGTTTCTCGATTCCGAGTCTGACTGTCAATAAACAGATGATTTCTAAAATCCATCCGAGCACGACCATGCATTTTACAGTCTCGCTCTACGAGAGGCCTTGTATACAACAAAGACATCTTCCCTATTTTAGTAGGGGGACATTCCCAGTCTTGTAATGTAGCTCCTCTTACTGAAAGGACCTAGTCGCCCAAGTGTTGCCGTTATAATCCCCTATTACGGCAGACGTTTGACAACATCAAAGCGAACTAGTACTCAAACAAGAGAACTCACAATACTCATGGTCGAGGAAATAGGTTCCGATAGCCATAATGAGAAGTATACTTATGACAATTTTTTTAATTTCTTAAAGTATTCTCATAGGTCGATCCAGTATGGTTCTAAACCAATACCTGTGCAAATGATTTATGACAATCATGTCCTTGTAGCACATGAAACGGTGCTATAAATCAAACTACACACTAATCTCAATCGGTCATTAATCGTCCATCGTTTAAATGACCTTGATTAGGGATAATTTTCGATTATAATATTCAATGTTCACTTAATAGGTGTTTCCTTACCAAGACTGGTCTTGATACCCTATTTTGAATATTCTCATAATCGAATGGTTCATTATTTAATCCTAAACCACAATTAAATAGCATAACAGAGTAATAAAATATTGCATGAAATTTTACATTACTCCAAAACATGAATGGTTTTCCTTAACGTCTTACATTAATTTTTCTCAATATTAACTAAAACACTAAACAAGGAAATCAAAGCCAGTCTCTTACATGCTTGATTCACATTGCCTCAACGTGCTTATTGTGCTTCACTTGAGGCAAAGGCTTAGTAAGTGAATCGGCTACAATGTCATCCGTTCCAACTTTGCAAATTCTGATTTCACCCTCTGATTTCCATTCTCGAATCATGTGAAATCACCGCTTGACATGTTTGACCTTCTGATGTTCCCTAGCCTCTCTGGCCTGAGCAATAGCTCCATTGTTGTCACAATAGAGGGCTATTGGACCCTTTATAGAGGGTATAACATCAAGTTCACCAACGAACTTACGAATCCAAACAGCCTCCTTAGCTGCTTCAGCAGCTGCTAAGTATTCGGCTTCAGTTGTAGAATCTGCAGTTGTACTCTGCTTTGCACTCTTCCAACTAAACGCCCCTCCATTTAGACAGAAAACATATCCAGATTGCGATTTGAATCGTCTCTGTATGTCTGGAAGCTTGCGTTAGTATAACCTTCCACAACTAAATCCTCTGCACCACCATACACCAGGAATATATCCTTGTTCCTTTTCAGGTACTTTATAATATTTTTGGCCGCAGTCCAATGCGCCTCTCCTGGGTCTGATTGGTAACGGCTCGTAGCACTCAAGGCATACGATACATCTGGACTAGTACATATCATGGCATACATGATCGATCCAATAAGCGAAGCATATGGAATCTGATTCATTCTTACCCGCTCATCAGGTGTCTGTGCACACTGCTTCTTGCTTAGGGTAATGCCATGTGACATTGGCAGGTGACCTCTCTTGGCCTCCTCCATGCCAAATCGAGCAATTACCTTATCAATATAAGTACTCTGACTCAATCCAATCATCCTTTTTGATCTATCCCTATAGATCTTGATGCCTAGTATGTACTGAGCCTCTCCCAAGTCTTTCATTGAGAAGCACTTTCCAAGCCAGGCCATTACAGACTCTAACAACGGAATGTTGTTTCCAATGAGCAATATGTCATCGACATATAAGACTAGGAAGGCGATGTCACTCCCACTAACCTTCTTGTAAACACAAGATTCATCTGGATTCTTGATAAAACCAAACTTACTGATGGCTTCATCGAATCGCAGATTCCAACTTCTGCTTGCTTGCTTTAGTCCATAAATGGACTTCTTAAGCTTACAAACTTTCCTTGCATTGTTTTGGTCGACAAAACCTTCAGGCTGTGTCATATACACAGTTTCTTCCAAATAACCATTAAGGAAGGCGGTTTTGACGTCCATCTGCCATATTTCATAATTGTAATATGCAGCAATCGCTAGGAGGATCCGAACGGATTTAAGCATTGCGACTGGTGAAAAGGTTTCATCGTAATCAATACCATGAACTTGTCTGTAACCTTTTGCCACCAATCTAGCTTTGTAAATGAATACATTTCCATCTTTGTCAGTTTTCAACTTGAAAATCCACTTACATCCGATAGGTGTATAACCTTCGGGTAAGTCAACCAAGTCCCAGACTTGATTTTCAAACATGGAATCCGTTTCAGATCTCATGGCCTCTTGCAATTTATCAGAGTCGGTGCTTGCCATCGCTTGCTTGTAGGTTGCCGGTTCATCTCCATCCATAATCAGGATGTCCTGATTCTTGGTTAATACTAAACCAAGATATCTATCAGGTTGAGATCTCGGCCTCTGAGACCTACGTAGGGTAATGGATTGAGCATTTGCATTGTCAGTTCGACTTTGCACATTTTTATCATTTTGAGTCAACAGATGTTGTTTGAGCACTTTGACTGTCATTATGATTTTGTTGCTCATCCTCACGAACTTCGTCGAGTTCGATTTTCCTCCCACTTGTCATTTTGGAAAGGTGCTCCTTCTCCAAAAAGACACCATCGTGAGCAACAAATACTTTGTTCTCCGATTTGTTGTAGAAGTAATACCCTTTGGTTTCTTTTGGGTAGCCCACAAAGTAAACCTTGTCAGATTTGGGATGAAGTTTGTCAGAAATCAATTTCTTGACATATGCTTCGCATCCCCATATCTTTAGAAAAGATAACCTAGGAGGTTTCTTCGTCCATAATTCATATGGAGTCTTTTCTACAGCTTTTGATGGAGCACGGTTCAGTGTTAGTGTCGCAGTTAAAAGTGCGTGTCCCCAGAAAGAGATAGGAAGATCACTAAGACCCATTGTTGATCGTACCATCTCTAACAAGGTTCGATTTCTCCTTTCGGATACTCCGTTCCATTGTGGAGTTCCTGGAGGTGTCAATTCTGAAAGTATACCCTTTTCTTTCAGATGGTCATCGAATTCTTAGCTCAAGTATTCACCACCTCGATCCGATCAAAGGGCTTTGATTTTCTTGCCAAGCTGATTTTCAACTTCACTCTGAAATTCTTTGAACTTTTCAAATGATTCAGATTTATGCGACATGAGGTAAACATAGCCATATCTACTATAGTCGTCTGTGAAAGTGATGAAATATCGATGTTCATTTCTTATGGTTGAGCTCATTGGTCCACATACATCGGTATGTATAAGACCCAATAAGTCACTTGCCCTTTCCCCCAACTTGGAGAATGGCTGTTTAATCATCTTGCCTAATAGACATCCCTCGCAATTCTCAAACGAT